CACTCACAATTGCGGTACTCACAACTGCATATGGTTGGGTAATTCGCCAGGCTTATTTTTTCAGGGGGGGGCCCAAAAAGGGGGAGCCCTGCTCCTTTGTGGAGCAAAGCAGACGCAGGGAAGGCGGAGGGGGAGGAGGAGGGCAACGACGAGGAGGAGCTTGCGAAAGAGAACGCAGAGCATGCGCGCGCGCACCGCCACAAGTGCATTCAAAGATGCGCGCGCGAACTCGGTGTGAAAGCCTCGCGTGCGCGCCCTAGAATTCGAGGGACTTTCTCAACGAGGGAGGGGGTTCTCTCTGTGGGGCCACGCAGCATGTCTGGAGTGCGCCGGCATAGGCTGGGAACAGACGTGGACGCACCCACTGGAGACAAAACGTGCGAGGGGTGCACCGAGACTGGCGTGACTCCCACATCTGGACCGTATCTCTGGGCCTTTCGGTGGAGCTCCTTATGCGGCAAGGATGCAAGGTGCGCCGAAACGGGCATGACTCCCACATCTGGACGGTGCTTCTGGGGCCTTCGGTGAAACTGTTTATGGGGCCACGCCACGTGTGAGGGGTATGCCGAGGCGGAAGTGGCTCCCACATGTGGACGGTTCATCTGGGGCCTTCGGTGGGGCCCCTTTTCTGGGGCCACGAAGCGTGTGAGGGGTGCGTCGAAACAGACGTGGCGCGCCCACATGTGGACCGTGCCTCTGGAGCCTTCGGTGGAAATGCTTCAGGGCCACGACACGTGTGAGGGGTACGCCGAAGCTGGCATGACTCCCACATCTGGACGGTACTTCTGGGACCTTCGGTGGAGATTCCTATGGAGCCACGGGACGTGTGAGGGGTGCGCCGAAACGGGCGTGGCCCCCACAAGTGGACGGTGCCTCTGGAGCCTTCGGTGGAGCCACCTATAGGGCCACGAAACGTGTGAGGGGTGTGCCGAAACAGGTGTGACGCCCACATGTGGACGGTCCATATGGAGCCTTCGGTGGGGCGCCCGCATGGGGCCACGAAGAGTGTGGGGGTTGCGCCGAAACGGGCGTGGCGCCCACATATGGACGGTGCCACTGGGACCTTCGGTGGAGCTACTTGTGGGGCCACGAGACGTGAGAAGGATGCGCCGGAACGGGCGTGATGCCCACTTGTGGACGGTGCCTCTGGAGCCTTCGGTGGAGTTCCTTCTGGGTCCACAAAACGTGTGAGCGGCGCGCCGAACCGGGCGTGACGTCTACATCAGGACGGTACCTCTCGAGTCTTCGGTGGAGCTACCTATGGGGCCATGAAACGTGTGAGGGGTGTGCCTAAGCAGGCGTGACTCCCACATCTGGACGGTACCTCTTGGGTCTTCGGTGGAGCTTTCTGTGGGGACACGGAGCGTGTGAGGGGTGTGCCGAAACGGGCGTGATGCCCACATGTGCACGGTGCCGCTGGGGCTTTATGTGGATTTCCCTATGGAGTTACGAAGCGTGTGAGGGGCGTGCCACAATAGACAAGCGAGGACCCAGCACGACAGGATGATTGGGAAAGAGAAGGCTCCAAGGAGGACGGCCCGAGAGGTCCCGAGGTCGCCCCAAGACGACGCCCAGAGGCCTCCACGAGGGCTCCAAGGCAGTTCAGGGGACCCCAGGAGGGCCCCGGTGTCGCTCTCCACCTGCCGCCAGTTTCCCCCCCTGGCCCGCCCCGCTGAAGCCCTGCTCTGCCCCGTGGCCCCCACTGCTGCCCCTCCTTGCCTCGGCTCACGTAGGGGTGACCTTTCGCTGGAGTGACCCTTCGTGCGGGCAAGCTGGGGGCCCCCAGAGGGTGGAGCGCGGCGCGACAGCAGCGTCTTGCGCGCCCGGGCCTGGCCTCCCCACGGCCCGCGAAAGTCGCGCACCAAAGGTCTTAGCTGCCTCGATACGCCCGTTTTGCTACGCAACACTTGCCGTGTTCAAAACGTCCGCGTCAATACGTTGCGTGTTGGCTCAACGTGTTGGCCCACGTTTTGGCGAACGTCTCGCGTCAGACCTACGTGTTCAGTCTACGTGTTGAGCTCCGTATGACTACGCTACGTGTTGCGTGTTGCGTATCGGGGCAGCTAAGCCAAAGGTTCCTCTTGGCTGGGGCCACTGTCGGTTGAAGGCCATGGGAGCCCCGTGTGCCCTCGCAGGTCCGTCTCTCCACTGCGCTAGCGTCACTTAGCGTCTGCTAGTCAATGAGATGGCGCCGACTTAGCGTCGATCTAGCGCAGACTAGCGTCGGCTTAGCGGCGTCGACTAGCGTCGATTCAGCGCAGACTAGCGTCGATTTAGCGCAGACTAGCGTCGATTTAGCGCAGGTTAGCGCCGATGAGCGTCGAGAGCCGACAAAATGGCATGGGAGGCTCCCATGAGTTGCCGCAGGAGGGCCACTCCTGCGCGCAGCCGATCGCCGCCCAGCCCGCCCTCGCCGAGCCCTGCCCCCCGCTCCTCGTGCGCTGCCCCCCCGTGACGCCGCCTGCCCCCCCGCCAGCGCCGGCACAGATCCTGGCGGTTCCTGGCGGCGCACCCGAGGGGGGTGGCGCGCGGGTGCGCGGCCTCCCGAGGGTCGAAGGAAGAGCGCGGCTGCACGCAGGCGCTGGGAGGGCCCCCATCCAGGGCCGAGAGGGCCTCTGAGAAGCCGCCTGCCTTCTCTGGAGGAACAGGCAGTGACATGATCGTGAACTTCGGAGGTCCCTGCAGATTTCTGGGATCGGCGCTGGGCCCCCTGGCAAGCGGCGCGCTCCGCGCGCCAGGGAGGGGGGCCCAGCGCGGATCTAAGAAATTCGCTCGGACCTCAGAAAGTTGATGTTTATGTCAGTGTTTGTTCCCCCAGGGAATGCAGGCGGCTTCTCAGAAGCCCTCTCGGCCTCTGGGAAGCCCTCTTAGAAGCCGCCATGCCTCAGAAGGCCCATGCCTTCCAAGAAGCCTCCCGCCTTCTTGGAAGCCCAACCCCGTCGCGCCACCCCCTGGTGGGCGCCGCCACGACTCGCGAGGGCGTCTCTGGTGTCGCTGTGCATCTTGCTGTCCACGCCTGCTGGGGTTTGGTAGAGGGCCGACTCTTGTTTTTGGTGCTGGTGCCTCGCACGCGCCCGAAACGCCGTGCGAGAGCTCGCAGGGGGTGTTTCGCACGTGTGGATCACATGCAATAACACCCAGAGTTCATCAGCGCAGCGGGTAAATGCATGCTTAGGCGGGTCTACCTTCGGGGTGTGCCCGTGGTGTGCCCATTTGTGTCGCATGTTTGACCGTGTCCGGCTTCCTAGAGAAGTCTGTCGCGGATGTTGGAGGATGAGTCAGAGGGGGAGGCGGAGGATTATGATGGTGTGGTGATGAGGTGGGAATCAGAAAAAGGAATAGGAGAAGAACAATAAGGAGCTGGAGGAAGAAAAAGGAGGTGTTGGAAGAAAGAGAAGAAGATAATGATGATGTTGATGATGATGATGATGATGGTGATGATGATGATGATGACGACTCTGATGTCGATGCTGATGCTGATGCTGATGCTGATGCTGATTCTGATTATGATGCTGCTGACAATGATGATGGTGGCGGGGATGGGCATGGTGATGGTGATGGTAAGAGTGACGATGGTGATGGTACTGGTGATGACGGTGATGGTGATGGTGATGGTGATGATGATGGTGATGGTGATGGTGATGGTGATGGTGATGGTGATGGTGATGGTGGTGGCAATGATGTTGCTGGTGATGATGATGATGACGATGATGATGATGATGATGATGATGCTGTTGCTGATGTTGATGCTGCTGGTGATGATGATGGTGATGTTGATGATGACGATGGTGACGACGGTGACAATGCCGATGCCGATGACGTCGCCGATGCGATGATGAGGATGATGCTGCTGATACTGATGCTGACGACTGTGATGATGACGACGACGATGGATCATGACGATTATGATGATGGTGATGATGATGATGATGATGATGATGATGATGATATGATGCTGTCGTTGCTAATGATGATGATGAGTCTGATGTTGCTGCTGCTGCTGATGATGATGGGGATGGTGATGGTGATGGTGGTGATGATGATGATGGTTACGGTGACGATGGTGATGGTGATGGTGACTGTGATGGTAACCATGATGATAATGATGATGATGGTGATGATGATGATGCTGATGCTGAGACTGCTGATGGTGATGTTGATGACGATGGTGATTGTGATGGTGATGGTGATGATGACGAACATGCCGGTGATGATGTGAATGATTATGTTGATAACGATGATGAGTATGATGTCAATGACGATTACGATGATGTTAGTGATGATGATGATGATGATGATGATGATGATGATGATGATGCTGGGAATGATGATGATGATGCTGCTGTGGGTGATGATGAATCGGATGATTATGATGATGTTGCTGCTTCTGGGGGAGGGGGATGATGAAGCTGATGATGATGATGACGACGATGAGGATGATGCTGCTGACGATGATGATGACGACGATAATGGTGATGGTTCTGGTGATTGTGATGATGCTGATGATGATGATGCTGATGATGATGATGATGATGATGATGATGATGATGATGATGATGATGATGATGCTGGTGATGATGATGATGCGGAGGAGGAGAAGGAGGAGGGGGAGGAGTTGGAGGAGGAGGAGGAGGAAGAGGAGGAGAGGGAGGCTTGAGAAGGAGTTGGTCTGAGGAGCAGGTCTGAGAGCAGTAAGAGCTGGAGGAGGAGGACGAGAACGGGGAATGAGAAACAGTTCCCGGGAGGAAGAGGGGTCCGAGGAGCAGAGCGAAGCGACTTGAGGAGGAGGAGAAGGTCAGAGGAGGTCAGAGAGGGAAGAGGAGAGTCGAGGAGAAAGGCGAGCTGCAGGAAGAGGAGAAGGAGGAGGTTTGGGAGGAGGGGGTGGGAATGAGGAGGACGTCCGAGGAGGGAAGCAACACGAAACCACAGGCAAATTCATGCACACGCGACACCTCCGGGAACGCCCGGCAGAGAGCAGCACGCCCGCAGGATCCGAACCAAAGGCGCCCGAACGGCACGAGCGGGGCGCCGGCATCGCCCGCGGCGACCGCAGCGCCCGACCCTCCTCGGGACGCGCCCCTGGCCGCCTCGGGGCCCCACCGCGCGCGCGCACGCGCGCGGCGGGCGCCGATGGCCGAGCGCCGCAAGGCGAGGTGCAGGGCCGCTCCTCGTCGCCATCGTTGGGCGCCGCCCTTCGGCCTCGTCTCGGCCTCGTCGTCGTCGATGGTGTTCTCGTCCTCGTCGCTGCCGCCCTCGTCGGCCTGTAGTCCCGTCGTCGGCGTCGGCGTCGGCGACGGCGACGGCGTCGGCGTCGTCACGGGCGTCGTCGTAGCGTCGTCGTCGTCGTTCGAAGACCAAACAACGGCACAAACAAAATAATTTCACAACCGACGCTTATTGCGACCTCCCCCTGCAGCTCCCGATCCTCTTCAGAGCTGTTGTGGCTCAAGGCGCGCGCTCCCTCTCGAGCATCATGCCAGCGGGCGCGCTCGGCCATGGCCGCGAGGCCGCCTCGCTCCCATCCTGCAGTGGGGGACGCAGAGGGCCCTTGGCGTACGGCGCTCGCGAGGGCGGCCACGTCGCCAAAGTCGACGAAGGGCGGGGCCTTGAGAGCCCTGCTGCCGGCAGCCTCAAGAGCCCGTCGTTCGACGGAGGCCCTGGGCGGGGGCTGCAGGAGAATCTGCTCCCTGGGCGGCGCGCCCGCCGCTCCTCGTCTGGCCTCTGCGGCCAGGCTGGCAGGGAGGGAACGGCGGGAACCGAGGGCCTTTGCGCTGCCTCGAGGCCTCCGGCGCCGGGGGAGTGCCCCCGAGGCGGCGTCGCCCTGCGGCTGCTCGACGCTGCCCTGGCGCTGCCGCCTCCTCCTCCTCCTCCTCCACCTCCACCTCCACCTCCTCCTCCTCCTCCTCCACCTCCTCCTCCTCCTCCTCCTCCTCCTCCTCCAAGGCCGACGTCGCGGCAGGCGGGTAGCCAGAGGAGGCGGCTGAGGCGCGAGCCGCAGCAGGCGCGCCTGAGAGGAGCTCGAGGCCGAGATTGCCGCGGTGTTGCAGGTCACCGGCGGTCTCAGGCCCCGAGGGGGCCGTGAGCCTGGTGGTCGCCGCGTTCGTCGTGGACCTGCTGCGCACTGCCCTCCCCGAGGCTTTCGTCGCCGCGCTGGCTGCGGAGCTGGGCTCGTGCATGCCTGGTGGCGGGTCCGCCGCGGACGTTGACACCGAGTTCGCTAGGACGTGGTTGCCCGGCTCATCACTGACCTGGTCCCCGAGCTCGCCGTGTGCCTCCTATTCACCAAGCTCGTCGCGGGCATGGTGGACACGAATGTCGCCGTGGTTTTCTCTCACCGGGCTGGCGCAGGAGCCGCTAGTCATTGCGCTCGGCGTGGCCAACTTCAGTCACTGAGCTCGTCGTGGAGTTCGTGCCCCCCCGTGCTCGCCGCGGGCCTTCTAGCCACCGTGCTCTCCGAAGAGTTCGTCGCCGAGTTTCCCGTGGGGCTGCCGGTCACCGTGCCCGCTCTGGACTCTGGACTTCTTGTTGACAGAAGTTGCCGAGGACGTGTCCAGCACCGGGTTCGACGGGAACCTGCTGCTCACTTGGCTCGCGGGCGTAGCCCCGTCATGCCCTTTGGCCGACCGCCGCCAAACACACCGTCCTCGCGACGCGCGGATGGCGGGTCCACGCGGCGCCCCGCAGCAGCTCAAAAGCGGACGGTTCTGACCGCGGCGCATCTCTACGGGGAAGGGCGCCCTGGGTCGAGCTCACCGCCTGCAGCCCAGGCGTCCTCTGGGAGTCCGCTCCCGTGCCCCGCCCTCGGGGTCCCACCGTGGAGCGTGGCTTACCGCGACGAGCCGAGGTACACGTTGGCGGTCCCGGCGCGCATGCCCCGGGGACGCAGGGGCATGGCAGCGAGCCAATCCCGAGTCGGTAGCAGGATTGACACCAGCGTCGAAGACAGCATCGATGTCAGCGTCATCGCCAGCAGGCCATCGGCATGACGTGCTCGGCGTCGACAGCACCGAGGAGCGTCTTCGGCGTTTGCTTCCCCGACGGTGGCGCCCCGAGCACGTACAAGGACGGGGACACGCTTGTGCCGTACGTCAATCTTCGAGACAAGCTTGTGTACCACGGCCTCCCAGCCCCAGTCAGGCTCCACCGCCCGGGTCACGTTCAGTATGCGAAGCCACGCCCCAAGAAGGGACTCTTGCATGCCAGGCCCGCGACCGGGACCCTCGCTCACCCCCCCAAAGGCATCTGGGTAGAGTATGCAGCTGTTCCAGGCGGAGTCCAGGCGGAGGTCAGCAGCCACGCGCTCACGTCCACCTGTTGTGCCCTGAGCCCTATTCGGAGGAGGGCTGCAATGGCCCAGGTCCACCGGCCGTGGCCCCTCTTCGGAGGAGGGCTGCAAAAGCCCAGGTCCCTCCTCGGAGGGGTGCCGTGGTGCCCGAGTCGCCACTCGGGGGGCGGGCAGGGGGGCCCGGCTCCCTCCTTGGAGGAGGCCGCAGTGGCCCGCAGCAGGCCGTCCTGTCGCCACATCGGCCTTGGGCTCAAGTTCACCGGCACGTACCCGCTCCGCGCCATCAACATTATGAAACGCAGCTTCCCCATTTACGTCGCCGACGGCGGTGACACGTGCACGTGCCAGGTAGCACAGTGACGGCGCCGACGACATGGGGCGGAACTTCGTCCAGTTATTCGGGTCCAAACGCAGGTGGGCACCATGCGCCCTAGCCCAGCGCGGGTCGACTAGCTTAGATGTCGTTTTGCAGCAAGGGCAGATTGGAGACGAAACGAGGAAACACGAAAACAAAACGAAAACGACCAGCACTGCTTTGGTCGAGCTCCGCTGCGTCCAGCTACCCGACATTGGGCCTTCCTCGGAGGAGGGCTGCAGTAGCCTAGGCCCTCTTCGGAGGATGGCCGCAGCGCCTGAACCCCTCTTTCGACGAGGGCAGCGGTGCCTTCGAGCCTTCGGCGGCGAGCCCGCCGGCAGCGCGGGCGCCCTCCGGGGGCCGCGCGTCCTCGAAGAGGAAGAAGAACAATAACAAACAAACAACTGCATGATTCGGCGGCGAAATCCGAGCTCCACCTCGGCGGCGAGCGACGGGGGTAAGTGAGAAGGGGAAGGCCTTCTGAGAGGTCTTCTGTGCCTTCGCGGAATAGCTGGGAAAATGTTTGAAGAGGCCGGGGGGCTCCCGAGCCTTTGAGAAGACCCGCCCCTTCTCACTTCCCCCTGGGCTCGCCCCCAGTTTTCGGAGGGGGGCTGCAGTGGCCTGCAACAGGCCGATGCGCCGCTAGACGTTTTCAGGACATGGTCATGTGAGTCGGCTGGGCGGTGGGCCACATCAGAAGCGCTGTCAAACACGCGCTGAGTTCATCGGGGAAGCTGTCTGAATTATCACAGGGCGCCAATATTGAGAAGCGCCGACTCCGCATTTACATCGCCGATGGCGGTGACCCGAGCACGCGCAGCGGCTGTAGCGGTTGGGGGCATCGCAAGGATGCGCACTCAAGTTGTTCCTATTCATCACGTGGATGACAGCGTTGATGGAGAACGCAGTCGCCATGCTTCCCGGGCCAGCGGCAGAGACGCATCGACGCGAACGATGAGCCGATATTGCCGTCGCCGACGACACCCTGCTCTTGGGCGCCGCTGCCGAACATGTCCTACAGTTCGCCGAGGCAGCCGCTTGGGCGGGCAACGCAGAAGGCTTCGAGTTGCACTTCGACAGATTCCAACTGTTGCAGGCGAACTCGCGCAAGCTGGTGTGCTTCCAGGTGAACGCCATGCCGAGCCAGGATGGCAGCGTCGGTTCTTCGCTGTCGGCAGATGGCAGAATGAGCCAAGACATGGGACGCCGAAATGGGGCAGCAGCTGCAGACTCTGGACGCTCTGGCAAATTTGGGAGCATCCGTCTCTGCCGCTCAAGCGACGCCTCTTGGTCCATGGTTCATCAGTCCTTGGTCGGATCCAGTACGCTGTGCGCGCTGCCAGCAGATTGCTTCACAAAGGCGGAATTTCGCAGACTGGATGGATCCCAGGTTAGGCGTTTCAGACGACTCCTACACATGCAGCCATCTTCTGTTTCCAGAATAGCTAACGCCACCGTCTTGCAGAGCGCCGGTCTCCAGACAGCGCCGCAGCAAATCCGACCCAGACAAGTGCTTATATTGAGGCGTGTCCTGCGCCAGCCGGAAATCTCATTCACGCGGGAGGTCGCGTTGAAGCCGGCCCCCCCCTGCCTCGCCCCCGCCACCGACTGGCGCGTCCGCCGAGTTGGGGCACCCAGGAAGGAATGGGTCCGAAGTATGTTGCCCGACGCAATCAGTCTGGCTGAGCACTGCCGCCTGCTTCAAGATGTAGTAAGTGACGCCTCCGCATGGCCGCGCGAAGCGCGCCATGTTCGTTGTCCTTATTGATGTGTCACTGCGCGCCCATGGGCTGCCACAGCCAACGGCGCGAACGCGCGAGCGAGCGCGCGCGCGTGGGTTTCGGGGCAGGCCCGCGCAGCGCGTCTAGACGGTGGCGAGCAGCAACGCGCTGACGTCCAGCTACTGGTGCGCGGGCCCTCGTCGAAGGAGGCCCGTAATTCCCTGGGGCGCTCTTCGGAGGAGGTCTGCATCGGCCTCGGCCCATCGGTGGAGGAGGGCTACAATTGGCTAGGCCCCTCATTCGGAGGAAGGCCAGGCGGTGGCCTGCATCTTCGCGCTGCCTTACAACTGATGCAGCTTCCTCGCGCGGCACCACCCGATCGCCTCCATGGGTCATTCTGGGGGCCAAGAGCGGCCGCTCGCGGGGAATGGCGCCCATTTCGGCGCCGGCCTCGCTGGCGGCTTCGCGGGCGCAAATCTGTTCCGCGCCACTAACAACTGGGAGCGCCGCTTCCGCGCCTGCCCCCCCCCCCCCCCCCCCCTCCCCCGACGGCGGCGCCTCCGGCGCGCGCGAGGTTCGGGGCGAGCCCGCGCAGCGCTTCAAGGCTGAGCATGGCAGCTACGCGCGGGCGCCCAGCTATTGAGCCGCTGTCAGGCACTTCAACTACATCATCGACATGGCTTTGCGCGGCGGCCGGACGGGCGCCTGCGCCACGGGCGCGGTCGCTCGCCACGCTTGCGCACCCCTGCCACGCCGCTGTCTCCGCGAGCGTCGCCGCCAGCGCGGG